AAAATAACCAATCAATATAAATTTACATTTATTTAACATTTTGCGATTAAAATCGTCAAATTATTTTAAAAGCTTAAAATTCTTATATTAATTTTTATTATCAGTATTCTAATGCAATATCACTAAATTTATAGAATAATCTATTGAAATATCAATTAATATAGTATCTGGATTCCTAAAAAATTTATAGCTTTTTAACAAATTAAATTACAATAAAATCACTCTCATATGAGAAATAAAATTGAAAATGGTAATTTATTTATTTGTCCGAGTTTAATGAAATTTTTAAGTTATTGTTACTCGTATATCATAGATTCATAATTATTATGATAAACTCAAAATTCTCAAGAGTAACTCTTGATTGTAAATTCCTATTTGTACTAAAAATACAAATTAATAAAACAGGATTGGAATTAAGAAAACATTATTTTATTTACTAATCAATAATTCAATTAATTTTTGATGAAGAAAGTGAAATTTCTATAAAAATAGTTTAAATCTATTTAGAAAGGTATTCAAACGCGTAAAATTTATAATATTTCTAAATAAGTTTTTTGAAATAAGAAAATTTGAATAATAATAAATTTAAGGAATGTTGCTATCACTTAATAAGTAATTATTAATAGTAAAGATATTTGAATCTTTTTAATAAAGGCAAGTTTTAAGATATACTCATATATAGTTTTTTCTTAAGCAGTAGATATATTTAAATACCAATAAATACTGTTTTATTTAATGAAAAGAATGGTAAATTTAAGTTCTGAGTCTCTTTTTATGATATTTAAAATTTATATTATTTCTTAGAATTTTGGATTAGTAAACATAATATAAATAAAAAAATAATATTTAAATTTAACCCTATTTTTATATTCTAATAATTAATTAATTATAATTAATAAAGTTTTTGATCTGGAAATATTAAAATATTTTAAGCCTAAAGATTATTTTAATAAATTTATGATATATCTCTAAGTTATCTAAATTTATTATTTAAACCATTTAATTGAATGCTTAATTTATCAGTTTCATTCTAAAGTTAATGAACTGTATAAAGTATATTTAATTTTTCTATTTCATCTCATGTCTTAATTTTTTTAATTATTCAAGTATCAATTCAACATTCTTTTTTCTAACTAATTTTATATTTAGATGAATATCCATATTTGAAATATTAAATGAAAACAATTTTGAATTGTTAATTGTTATAATTTAAATTTTTACTATAAGTTTCTTAACGAGCATTAATATATACTCTCAACAATTATTAATATTATAATTCCTAAAACTATTATAAATTTAGTAATTATGATATATAAATATTTTCATACTTCGCAAGTGTAAAGATGCCTTCTGGAGTGTTTAAATTTCTTGCTTTATGTTATCAAATTAGCTAGAATCTAAAAAAATGGATTTATTTCATAAATTCATTTGTATTTTTGAAAAACTAATTTACTAATCTAAAAAATTGAAAAGTAATTATTATTATTTTATGTCTATGTTCCTTTTATATCTATATATAATCTTTTATCTTTTCCATGATTATTTAAATTTTCAGATAGTATCTTCAGTTTCTCATGTTAACTTAATAATTTTCATTCTCATAATATTTAAATAAATATTCTTTTAAAGTATAGTTAGAATGCTCGATTAAAATTTATAAATATTTCTAACTTGAATAACTGAAAAAGTTGAAACTGATCTATTGAATTATTACCTAATATAAATATCCTTAATAAAATATTCAAATTGAATGTGAATTAGGCTATATTAATAAGATACATATTTAAACAAAAAATCTTTGCGGATGACCCTATAATGATATTTAAATACAAAGTTTAAAATCTAAAGTTATCATTAACATTTTTCTTCATAAAATGATAATTATCCCTATTATAAGATTCCTATTTTTCTATATTTGAATAAGCATCAAAAACATGATGAATAATAAAATTGAATTTATAAATTGATTAAAATATAAAATTATACAAATATAATAATAATATTTATATTAAATCTTAATAATTTTCATAATTCTTTATATCTTCTAACTTATATTTACTTTGATTCATTATCCCAAGTTATCAAATAATCTCCATCATTACTCATTCCTCCAAATAGTTAATTTGTATCAAAATGAATAGATTATTGAGTTACAAATTCTGCATTTAATTTTTTTCTTATCAAATTGACATATAAGCCATTCTTACTCATGAGAATACATTTTTAATTTATATATTATTAAGGAAATAAACAATAACCATTATCTGATCCACATTTTACATCAATATCTTTAGTCTTTGTAAATTATTGATTGATATTGTTCATTTCATAAACAGATATCTATTCTTTATTGTATTATGATAATGTAAACATATTATTATCAATAAAACATATTCTATATGCAGATTATTCAACTGTAATCTTTTAGATAACAATCCATTCTTTATTCTATCCTTATTATTCCATTATTAATATTAATTTATCATGACCACAAGATACCACTTTATTTTATTATTAATTAACACTTAATCCATAAACACTACTAGAATGATCTTTAATTGTTTATTAACATGTCCATTCATTCTTTTTTATCCAAAATTTAATATCATAACTTCCAGATATGATTAAATCTTCATTATTATTTAATATTAAACATAAGATATTACTAGTATGTCCATTTAATGTCTATTAGGGAATCCATTAATTATTTTGATTTAATTACCATATAATAATAGAATTATCTACACTACCAGATATAAACTAATTTGATTTATTCATAAAATTTAGAGTAAATACATTATTCCTATGTTCATTTAAAATTTAAGTTTATTTGATCATTCCTTAGTTGAATTCAAATACTTAAATTTAATTTTTACATCCAGTCAATAATGTTGAACAATCTTTATTAAAAGTTATTGCACCACAAAATTAATTTTATGAATATTAATGAATTAATTCATAAATAAATGATTTATTATTAAATGATTATATTTATTAATTTGATTATGATTATTTATTAATTTAAGATTTATTTATGATTAATGGTTATATGTCTTAATATAATTATTATGGAACTTCTATTTAATTTTATACATCTTCTAAACATTCTTTTATCTTTTATTAAATAACATCACTTTTAATTTCAATCTAATTATTCATTATTTTTTATATTTTTATTAATCAAATCATAATAATCTATATTTATTATTTATAATATAAAATATATATATATAAGAATATTCTAGAATTTATTATAATTCTATTAATATAAATGAATCTGTAGGAAGTGAATTTCAAAAAACTATTCCGTTAAAATTCAACTTAATTCTTTTCTTTGAGAAAAGCATTTTGGTCTGAATTATAATTCAAAACCAAAAACTAAAATATTATGCAGTTTAATTCAGATCCAAATCAAATAAATTACAAAACAACTTCTATTTCAAGATTGAGCTATGATATACTGCAAAATTCAATTATTGAATCTAAATAAATAAAAATTTAGCTAAATACAAATGATTTTCAATTCTCTATATGAATAAGAAATTTAATTAGAACTCAAATCGTATATTTCAAAAATAATCATTAAATAAATTTATTAAAGAAACATTTAAAAAGTTGGTCATAAAATCATAGTTTTGTAAACAAGAGTGCTAAGAATTTTATATCATGAAGTTACAGATGATGTTATAAATTAATCAGTATATATTTTTTGTTAACATAATGAATTATCAGCTAGTTTAGTTAAATTATTTTTATGATATTTATGATATAAATAGTGATGAAAAAGATTTCCTTAAAGAAAAATAGTAATTGCTAACACTTGAATTAATATTTTGTTTTTTACAAGCAATAAAAATTACTAAGTTCCTTATTTATTACTATTACTCTAGCTCTAAAGACATTAAACTAAAAATAACTTAATAAAATATAAAATCTCCTTATTGAATCATTAATGGCTATTTTATATTCAAATTTAAGTATTTAAAAGTGAATCAAAAGTTATACATTTGCTCCAAATACTAAACTTACATATTCAATTTTAATCAGAAATTTCAATTATTATTAATCTATTACGATAATTAAGCCACTTTTAGCTAATTAGTAGAACAAATTATTAATTATAATTAGGACATATATTACTGAGTATTTGATAAATTGAATTTGATAATATCCCTTTAAATCAATTTAGGCAAATTCCAATATTAATTAAAGCTTTAAAAGCAAAACCTTAATGCTTTTTTTACGAATTATTATGATAATAATTGCAATATGAAAGTAATCATTATGAAATTTGATAAATCTCTTTAATTTATATTGAGTAAATGTATCATCAACTATTAGAGATTATACTCAATTTCTTTCCTAAACTTTTATAAGTATCTAAATGTCATCATTGAATAATTCCATAACGTGATTATTAAGAAATTAATTTAATATTATTAAATGTGAGGAAATTTAAGTACTAAATAAAAAATATTGATTATTATAAATAGAGGTAATAAGAGTGTAAGATTTAAATAGTTTAAATTCATAAGAGTTCTTATAAAATTTCATTGTTAGTAAAAATAATGCAAATAATATTTAAGACATTATTAATTATAATTTCAATTTATGTAATTGAGATTTGATATTCATTACATTAATCAATGTAATTAAATACTTTAGCATTTTATCTAAATCCTATTTTCTTTAAAGTTTATTAATTTGATAATCAATAAATATTTCAGTAGTTATTAATGTTATTGAAAATTGAAGTCTAGAATTTATAAAGCTGAACTACAAAAATAATCAAATTTAAAAGTGCTTGTATTTAATAGCAAGCAAACTAGCGCAGTAGGCAACGGTTCTAAATCATAAAACTCATGTAAGCAAGTTCCCTTAATTAATTAAACTGATTTTAGATTGCCTCCATTAGGTCTAATACAGTCCCTTGAGAAATTATAAAGGGCCTCAATATTGTTAGTGTTTAAAAGAACCTTTAAAAATTAGATATCCCTGAATGTAACTTTATTTGAAATAGCTTCTCAATGACTTCAGTTCTGAGGCTAGATTGATGGAGAAGAATATATAAATATATGACGTCTTCCGAACTACCTTTTCAATCATAATCAGTAGACAATTAAAGTTGTTCAATGATACATGCTTATAGTCCAGGCTTTGAGTTGTCATCCAAAACCCTCTAGCAGGCATGCCACAGAGTATGGTAATGCAGCGCCAAATGTTAACAGTAACAGGTGATGTATTTATATTCTTATCTTCTTGCAAAGCGTATTAATAAATACCAAATGTTAGTGAAGGATTATTGTAGGTATATTACAATTCCGAATAATAATAAATTTATGATATTAATAAATTAATATTTTTGAACTCCTCTAAAATAATGATATCAAATGATGATTCTTAAATTCATTATTGCTTAGTATA